TGATCTCCCAGAGATTTAACTTGTTTATCTGTCAGAAGTGACCATTTCCATTTGTGGGTTCAAGACACAGTGGCTCTGTCCTGATGTAAGCACAAGTGGCAGGTGAGTTTACACCAGGCCTGTAACCTCTCCAAGAGTGCAAAAGGTCAAATGCTTGGATGTGTTTATAAACTTTTCACTGCAGGACAGCCTCTCTCTCCAGCCCAGCACCTGGAAAGGTGTTTGCTCTTTAACTCATTTCAGAGGCTGTGTGCTATCTGCTGAGTTTTTTCTAACACACCACACAATAGATTAAGCAGGAAGCAAGCCAAGGAACAACAGATCTAAATGAACATTAAGGTATCAGGTATATAAAAATGCAGGCAGATAATACGCATCAGGGATCTCTCATACATTTTCAGTTTACAGGGATCTCTATACTAGGGTTGTAAAATCCGGTTTAATTGGTTAACGGATTAAACATAATGTTTAGCCAGTTAACAGATTAAAGAGAGAGTGCCAGGCTGGAGTGCCCCCCACCATTGCAAGTCAGGGTGCTCCGGCCCAGCCTGCTATGCTCCCAGGCCCACTGTGGATAGGGACTACTCCAGCCCCCTACTGGTTAACCAGTAACCATCTCCCATTAAGGATGATGCTTATCAGTTAGTCTCTCTCATCCCTACGGCCTATACCAGAAATTAAAATAGTTTATGGTAAGTGCTCTGCTAGTTATGTTACAGTAGCATAGACCCCACAACAAAGATTGGGACCCCACTGTACAAGATGTTCTATAGCGGTCCAAACTGCTTATTTAATTGTTAAAATTTACTGAGAGAAATCCTTCCTCCTCAAATTCGTAGCAAGCAGGTACAAATTAACTTTGAAAAGATGTGTTAACAGCCATGTGCATAGTAAATTCAGGAGGTATGTCTGAAGTTGTTTTAGTTAATTATAAAATCTACATAATGACAAAACTGTTGGTTTCTCCTCAGCCACTGTTGTTAAATAACTGTTCAGATGGGATTTCTACTCTAATGCAGAGGGGTAACTATTCTATGTTCAACTTTAGTGGCAGTGAGCGTAATAAATAGACTGCTCTTCTGTTGGGTAATAAAACTCTTAATGGCCATTATCAGGAGTGCAAGATTCATCTGTTTGCACCATTTGGATACTGAAAAGTGAAACCACACATGACATTCGTGCCTACAAAGACAAATGTGAAGCTCCCAGATAGGGTACTCACAGAGCCCAACAACAATAAAGCTGCCCTAAGTCAAAGGGCTCTAATACCCTGTGCTTCTAATCTGGGACATAAATGGTCATCCACATTACATATGTAAACCAAATCTTCCAGGCCTGCCTCTCACTCATATAACTGAGCTGTAGACAACTTAAGTGATTTGCCCAAGGTCACCAAGAAATCTGTAATACAGGAAACAGCATCCAAGTAATCTAACTCTCAGATCTGTACCTTAGCCACAGCTTCTCTTGTCCCCCTTTACACCAGTGGTCTCCAACCTTTTTACACTCAATATCACTTTTTAAATATGAGGGCAAGTCAAGATCTACCCCAGCCCTTCCCCAAGATCCCACCCTTTCCTTGAGGCTCCATCCTTTGCTCACTGGGTTGAGACAGGAGGTGCGGGCTCGGGGGTGGGAATGAGGGATTTGGGTTGGGTAGGAGGTGAGAGGTGCAAGCTCTAGGAGGGAATATGGGTGCAGCAGGAAGTGGAGAAGGGGGTGCTGGTTCACGTAGGGGTCTCCAGGCTGATGAGTGTTGGGGACAGATGAAGAGTTAGGGTGCTGAGCAAGCTGAAGGCTTGTGGAGATGGGGGTGCAGGAATTTGGGTTGGCATGTCTGAGGGACTCAGGGCAGTGGGGTCTGGGTCTATGATGGGCTCAAAATGCAGATTTGCAATGTGGATGGTGCAGGAGTGTTGTGGTACAAGACTGAGGATGTGGGGGATGCAGGGGTTTGGGAATATGAGGGGCTGAAGGCAGGGGATTCAGGTGTAGGAGAGGCTCAGGGTTGGGGAGTAAGGGGGTGCAAAATGGGGGCTTGTTGACCAGGCTTCATTTTTAAATAAAACGTTATGTCAAAACACAAAAAAGGTTTCAACTGTGTCTTTGCTTATGGGAGGGGCGGTGAACCTGTTTTGAGTCAGAGGCCACTTATCCATGGGAGGGGAGGGGAAAATCAGTCAAGGACCTCCCAAGCGAGAAGCAAAAACCAACCTCTCCAAAACCCCACCCTGACTGATATGGCCCCAACTGAGACACCTCACTCCCCTGGCACTCCAGCCCCATGGCAGGAGAGGTAGGTAGGACTGAGGTTCAAGGCCTCAGGCCAGATTAACTGTTCTAGAGTTCCAGGGTTAGTGAATTTTGTGGGGCCCTCAGACTGTGGGGTGGGGCCAAAAATGAGGGGTCCAGTGTGCAAGGCAGAGCTGACAGTGAGTGGGATAGGCACAGGGTACAGAATCTGGGTGGGAGGCAGGGGGCAGGTGTCTGGACGGGATGGAGGGGGCAAGAGCAGGCTGCTGGTGGATTTCTAGCCAGGGGAGAAGGGGCAGGAGCAGCTCAGCTGGTCCCTGAGGGTCTCCAGGGGCAAGTATCTCAGGCAGGATTTGCAAGCAGCACTGGAAGAAACACATGTGCCACTCCTTTAAGAATTCCAGCTGCTCAAAGTCCAGATCCTCCACTGCCATGTTAGTTCCCCCATCCCCCGACCCTGCCTCCCTGGCCAGACACTTGCCGGGCGGATAAGGAAGCATGTGCACTGCTGTGAGGAGGGGAGAAGCAGCACACATGCACTTCCTAACAAGTTGGATCTGGCGTGGATCCTCAGGACTCTCCCCCTGCAGGAAATCAGTGCTGGCTCCAATTTTGCAAGGGATAGGAGGCTGTAGCACCAGCTCAGCTGCCTCATTATTTACCTGTGCTTCCACAGGTACAGCCATTTGCAACTCCCATAGGTGGGAACGATGAGACATGACCAATGTAGGAGGCTGTAGCACCAGCGCAGATGCCTCTTTATTTACCTGTGCTTCCACAGGTACAGCCATTTGCAACTCCCATAGGTGGGAACGATGAGCCATGACCAATGGGCACTGCAAGCAGCCGTAGTTATGGAGGCTCAGGTAAATAAATCACCAGCAACCTGCGGGGAGCTAACAGTGAACTACCACCTCCAGTTTATTACCCTGCGCACACGTTCACAAAAAGATGGACCAATAGAAAGTTCCTTCCCAAAGAGGAATTGTTTTAAGACCTCTGGAGGGGGGGAAAAGCTGTAGAATAGAAGTTAGAGAATGGATACTAGAAGTCATCCATAACAGTATATAGCACTTCTGCTTACTTACCACATATGCTGTAATTTACAGGAGATCTTTAATTCACTCAAATTTAATTTACTGTAGATTTTCAAGACAGTAACTTTCAGGCTGCTTATGAAGATGGATCCAGGAAATCTGGGCAGTGATAACTGATGCTGCTTTATACAGTGCTGTCATTATAGGAACTAGGTGTGGGGGAAACCAAAAACGCCAGATCTTAACACCTCCCACAAAAGTCAGAGCCACAAATATTGTTGGAGAAAAGCCTGGGCCACAAAGAAATTGAAATCTCTGTCAATAAAGTGAAATTCAGGGGCCAGAACTGAAAGCCCTTTCCATCTCCATAGCACCTTTCACTCCAATACACATGAGAGTCACACAGCACCTCTGATGCGGGATATAGGAAAGATGCCTTCTCTGACACACTATGCAAAAGTAAAGTGGATGTGGAAAAGAAATTTTAGCCAAGGATCCCTACATCTTAGATGTCCTGTTCCTAATGAGGCCCACTTCGGTGAAATAGGCCAGAGATAGGGAAATATTGGCCCACAGGCTGGATCCTGTTCTCTAGGATTAGCCTGTTCTCCAGGCCCCCATTACAACATATATTTACTTGCGCTTCCACAGGTGGAGGTGATCACAGTGCCCATTAGCCATGGATTGCTGTTCCAAGCAAATGAGAACTATGGGAACCAATGTCTTGGTCCATGCTGCTTCCTGCCACTCCCATAGGCTAGCAACAGTGATTCACAGCCAACAGGAGATGCAAGTGCCCTTATCTCCCAACTGCCACCTTTTAATTGCCCATACCTGGACTAAATATAGGTGTCAATATCAGTAACCAGCTTCTCTTCCTGTTGTACTTTCATGCCCACATACAAGCCCTGGAGCCCCAACATTTCCTCCCACTATGAAGGACAGATGGAGCAGGCTGAATTCCATGAACAGCAACGTATCTATAAAATGAAGAAACCTGAACATAGGGACTTTCACTGTTACAATGCCATCAACATTCCACCAACCAGTCACCTGTGGGACCACTTAGAATTTACAGATGCACAGACATGGTGAAGATTAAAATCTCAGAAGTCACTGCACTTTGGAACATTAAATATTTTAGAACAGGGGTGGGACTAAGGCTGTTAAATTGTGTTTAATCGGCTAATCAAATAGTTGATCGGGGAAACTGCAGAGCCGCTGCAGAGTTAGTTCCCTGACTCGGGAGCTAACCCTGCTGCGGCTCTGCCTTTAAATATAGTAAGACCCGGACAACTCTTAGTACATTTAAAAGGCAGAGATGCAGCAGGGAACCGGGCATGAGCTGGGACTCAGTCTCTTGCTGTGCCTTTGCCTCCCCTGCCCACCCCAGCAGAGATGGTGCTTGGGGGAAACCAGCTTTTAAGCCGGTTCCCCCAAGCACTAGCTCCTGCTCTCCACTCCCTTGCTGCCTCTGACAGAAGCAGCAACGGGGGCAGAGAAGCAACTAGTTGAGTAGAGACTCAACCTCCTGATAAGCTTAGGCTTATCGTGTAGTCCACTACTCCACTAGTGGCTTACATCCCTAGAAAAAAAAAACAAACAAACAAATACACAGACACAAAACAGCACAAATACTGGTTGCCTTGAATATTAACCAACAGTTGACTACAGGAGTCACTTGCCCAGGAAGAATCAAGTGCCTCTTACCTTTATTTCTTCTCCATTTTGGCTGTGCTCTTTCTGTAGCTTCTCTCTTAGCTTCCCAAGCTCTGCCCTCAAAGTGCCTATCTCCTGTTCCTTGGTTTGCAGACATGCTTGCAATTCCACCTTCTGCTCAATTAGCGCTTTCCCTTGAGCCTCCACTACTGTGATTCTGTGCCGAAGGTCATGATTAATTTTCATTAGCCTGTTCTGCTGTTGTTGCAGCTGCCATAAAGTGACACAATAAGTTTGCCTCCATTAAACCATGGTACATTAAATCACAAGTATTAAATTACAGAACTGGAAATACGTTCCTGTTGTAGTTATCTTGAAAGATCTCCTTTATTTCAGAGGAATTTTTAACTACGTAATCATCTGTGAAAGGACATGTGGTTTCACTGACTGTTTGTAGGGAGCAAGTATCTGAATCAAATATCACCTCAGTCAGGCTTCCTTACTGACAGGCTCAGAAGAGAAAAGCAAAACCTAGTGAGGCGTGCAGCCTTCTCTCCTCCAGAGCTGATTCCTCCAAGCGCGAGGCTGGCCTACGTGCACTGTGTGAAAGAGTTTGCACCACTTAAGTGGTGACTTTCTAAAGTTTTTAGGGGAGTTAGGTGCCCAATAGGAGTTGGGAACCTTTGGGCCAGTGAAAAGTCTGCTCCCTCATCATTTTCAGTTTCTAACTAGGTCTTTTCCACACTCAGAAGAGGGTTTGGTACCTGCTCTGAAGAGCTCATGATTTTTTTTACCTCTTCTACAGATACACAGAAGACATTGTACTTCAGGGATAATAATCTGTCCATCCTTCACAAGCACGAAACTGATTTGAAATTTGTCACAAACATGAAGCAGGAAATACTTACAGCCTCCACATCCTCATTTTTCAGTCCCAGTTCCCGGTCCTTGGCTCTGATCTCATCCCTTTGTTTATCTACCACTTCCTTTAGCTTCTTCATTACTTGCCTCTCCCTCTCTGACATTCCTGGTTTAAACAAATTAACACAAATTAAAAAATAAACTAAGAACAACTATGACATCAGTGGTAAACTTTTTGGGAAGGCACTGGACATAGTAGGATTCAGCCAGCAATTCAGGGAGAGCTTGTCACCTTGGATAAAGAAAGACTGGTTATTCAGCTTGTTTGCATTTCATCCATGAATCCCACATATTTTCTATGCACATCACAGGTGCAGACAAGAGAGTTTTATAATGATTTATGTAATAGTTTAATGGATAGTGTGAAAATAAATGTTACATAACTGTAACTGTGCTGGCCGCTCTTGTCTGGTAAGCATCAAGCAGACTGCATGTGTCTGTATCTGACATTAAAGCAGAAAGATGTGACCCAGCATGGGCTCCCTGTTGCATTTAGGAGTACAGTAAACTTCTGATAATCCGGCACCTTTAGGACCCGGGGGTGCCGGATTATCAGATATGCTGGACTATCAGAAGGGGGGGCTATGAGGGGTCTCGAGTGGGGTGGGAGGGGATGCCACCCCAGACCCCTCATAGCCCCCCCTTACAATAGTCCGGCTCTGACCCAGGCGTCCCTGATTCAGCCGCTGCGTGGCCATTTCCGCAGCCGCGCAAAACCGG